ATAAAAGAAGAAGAAAGAAAAAAAGAAAGAGAGAGAGAAAACAAAGAATAAACAGAAATTTATAAAAGAAATACGTTTTTGTTAGAGGAGGAGGGAAATCGGAAAGCCAATTGGAGGAAAAAATGAGAAGTGTTTGAGGGAAAATGTGTTTTGATAACAACAATATAGGAGACACATATCATTAGGGACACATTGATTGGTAATATTGGTTCATGTTGCAAAATATCACAAGAGTTGTAGCCAGATTACATCAGTGTATTTTCAAGAATTTATATAGTAGGATACATTTTTTAGATTTTGACTACATAGACCAAAAGAAGTAGCTAGGATAATATAACCAAAAATTACCCTATCACACTTGAAGTGTAATTTTTGTCTTCTTTGCCTAGCACGGCTATGAAAATATCATATGCCCTATACAGAAGCATTCTTCAATGTTTTCTATGAAAAATATAATAACTTATGCTATATAATCTTAGAATTTGTAATAAGGGCAATATACCAACGTTCGTTAATAGATTGAGAGGTGATGTCATTGACATAACCCTCACTAATATGGACGACACTCGGGTTATGAACTGGGAAGTATCTGAGAAATACTGATTTTCAGATCATAGACTGATATTTTTCCAGGTTCCTACCTCCAGAGGTAAACAGAAGCCTTATAGGAAGCCTCGGAAGACAAATTCATAAAAATCTCATAACGGTTGAGGATGTTGAGGAAGGTGTGAACAATGTCACGGTCGCTCTTCTGAAGAGCTACAAGGCTTCACATCCTTTAACATACGCTGGGAAAAGATCTCAGCCGGTATGGTGGTTATAAAACCTTGCATCCTTGAGGAAGACTGCAAGGAAAGTATACAATAGAACTAGTAGGATAAAACTCAGTACAGATTGGGACGTTTATAGAGAACAGTTCAATAGGTATAAGAGTGAAATCAAGAAGGCTAAACGTGAGTCTTGGGTCGGCTATAGTGAGTCAACGAAGCGACCAGATTTCGCAGAGTACAATCTAAAGATCCAAAAGCTATAGTTAATCGAAGGAATCAACGAAGCGGCCAGATTTCACAGAGTACTATCTAAAGATCCAAAAGCTATAGGTGGTATTAAGCGAAGTGACGGAACGTGGACAAACTATAGCAGTGAGACTCTTGATCTTCTATCGTCAACTCACTTTCCTGGTTGTATGGACCTTAATGAGGGTGTGCAGTGTACGCATCAGCATATGGTTCGAACGAGGGAGGAGGAGAAGCTGATAACAAAAACACTATAAGCCACCCAAAAATGGTATGGGCGATAAATAGTTTTCAACCCTATAAATTGCCTAATTCAGATGACATAATACAGGCCATGCTGCAACACGCAGATGAACGAGTATTAGCCTCTCTGCAAGAAATTTTTAGGGCTTGTTTACTTCTATCGTACATACCTAGTCTATGGAATGAGAGGTAACAATGACATTCATCCCGAAAGCCGGGAAGCCGAGTAAAGGATTATAGACCGATTAGCTCTCTTCCTCTCTAATCAAAACTTTAAAAAGGTTACAAGACTTAGAAATTAGAAATACTATTAATCAAAGCAAACTTAGCAAATCCCAGCATGCATACATCAAAGACAAATCAGTGGATACAGTCTTACATGAGGTGGTTGGACGCATTGAGAATAATATGGAGTCCTCTGGCTACACTTTGACAGCATTCCTCGACATTGGGGGAGTTTTCAACAATGTGAAGCTAGATGTCATCCATTCTGTTCTCGTAAGCTCAGGTATACCCTCACTCCTAAAGCAATGGATTGATAGAATGCTGGAAAGCAGAATTATTAACTCAATCTTAGGAGAGAGTTCCCTGAAGAAATCTGTCAACAGATGCACACCGGAAGGGAGTATTATCCCCCCTTGAAATTCGATCATCTTAAAATGAAGGTTGTAGCCTATGTCGATGATGTAGTCTTGCTGGTTGGTGGGAAATTTCTAATGACAATTTCAGATATTATCCAGTGTGCCTTTTCAACTCTGTCTAACTGTCTTGGTGTAAACCCCACTAAGACAGAATTGGTGCTCTTCACTAGGAAAAGTAATATTCATAGTTTCCGCTTGCCATCTTTGGTTATTTTAACCATGTCAAAGTCTTAAGAAAGCTTTGGATCTGCTTGATCAAATATACGGCAATAATCCACTCCATTAATATCCTATTTGGAAGTGAGAGATTTAGTCCTGCAGTAACCTTTTATTATCCCTACAATGATTCTAATCAATTGTTTCCAGCTCTTCCTCATCCTCACCTATACGACAAAAATCCACTCCGTTAATGTACCATTTGGTAGTGAGATATCTAATCCTGCAGTGACCTGTTATGATCCACACAACGATTTTAATCACACTCTATTATGAGACAACAGCGAAGAAGTTCTACGGCAAGAAAATTCTGGCCAGATGGTTTTGAAATCCTGCATCCAGGTTGAGATGATACTGATTTTGCCAATAAAGTAACCAATAGGAGATTGTGGAGATCCCTATGTCGCTAGATTGGACAACAGAGAATCCCCTCGAACAAGCTCATCGCCTATCTCAATCCCTTCTATGTTTCTATGTCGTGGAACCCAACATAATATATTAACCATCCGTCGTATATCATGAAGTGCATCCTTGCAATTACGAACCGCTTTTGAGTTTATAGTGCACGACTTTAAAGCCTTAAGGGCCGCCTGACTATTGACATATATAGTCATCGGTCCTATGTTGTCGGCAAATAAGTGTTTTGACTTTCTCAGCCGCTTTCGTGATTGCAAGGATTTCTGCATGAAAAACGCTGCAATTATCGTTACGACCTTTACATACAGCCAGTGTATAATCTCTGGTTTTAGACCCCAACTCTTACATATAGAGTTTTTACAGGAGTAGAGTGCTGTTAGTTCTTTTTTGTACGTTCCTCAACATTCCTTTTCCATGTTAGTTTGTGGTCGAGGACTACTGTACCAAGGTATTTTGCTTCTAAGGAAAGGGCTAAGGTAACTCTACCCAAGGATGGCAATCGAAGTTTTGGTTATGTCTTCATGGGGTTTACACCAAAACCATTGGTGTGTGCCCAGTTGGTCAGAGTTAAAAGGGCATTATATCGGAAATAGTGGGCAGAAAGTTCCCAGCGACCTTTATCTTAAGGTGATCGGATTTCAGCAGTATACCATTTATAACCAGAAGCCATAGTAGAGGAGATAATACTCCCCTTTGTGGTGTGCCTCTATTGACAGATTTCCACACGGATCTCTCACCAATGATAATTCTGCTTTTCATCATTCTATCAAGAAAATCCGTTAGAAGGGAGGGGATACCTGAACTATCGAGAGCAGAATGTATACCCTTCAGCTTCACATTGTTGAAGGCTGTTTCGTTGTCAAGGAACGCAGCCAATGTGTAACCGTTGGTCTCAATATTGATCTTTGAAGATAATTTTGTGTTGATTTTTGGATCGTACTTTATTATCATGCTCAGTAATTTCCTTGATTTCGTGTTACAATTGATTAATACCATCCGATGCTAGTGAGTGTTATTATAACAAAATGTTCTCGCGAACGTCTACTCAAAAAAAAAAAAAAGATTTAAAATACAATTGAAAAAATTGAATTGAATATTTTTATAATTTTTAATTACTGGAAAGATGTAGGGAAATAGGATGAAAATGACTTTCTTTAATAATGATAAAATTTTGAAATACAAAAAATTAAAACATATTTACTCTGTTGGGGTTTTGGGATTGTTCACATAAATAATAGTACTCTCGTAAAACAATTAGAAGACAAAATACAAATTCGAAAGTTTGTTGTAACAAAACAAACAAAATACAGTTTCTGTTTTACTTTTCATTTATTGTTTAAAATAGGTTTGTGCTCGACGTTGATGTTGAGTTAGATTTCACTTAACAATAATAGATATCCAAAATAACAAACAAATAAAAAACAATAATACAATGTATTTTGTTTTACTAAAATTAAAAAAAAAAACTAAACTTAATTTTAAATTAATAATTACAAATTAAATAGGTTTTTTGTTTCGATATAAATTTTCTTTGTTTTTTAAGATTTTTTACATTGAGAATGTGATATACAAAGGTAGGTAGGCAGATAGTTATAGAATAGATTTCAGAATAAAATAGATAAATAAGAAACAAAAAGAAAGCAATCAACCATTTGGTTTGTGGTCTGTATATATATGTTGGATATTATTAATTAAAAATAAAAACTATAACTCTAGCAAATAAATAAAAGCCAGTATTTTTTGTTGCTTCTTATAAACAAGACAAAGAATAACTACATTCCTTGCAAAGAAACTACAGCAAAACAAGATTTAACAATTACAACATATAGACAAAACTGATGGATAAACTAATAATTTGTCCAAGAGTTTTGTTTATGACATACACAGCTCATCACATAATAATTATCATTTTTTTTTGTCTCGAAAACCGAAATAACATTTTTCTTTTGTTTTTGACAATTTTGGAATGTCCACCAAAATTAGTATAATTAATAAACTAAATACAGATTTTGTTGTTGTTTTATAAACATGCTTTAAAATTAAATGCCAAACGAATAATAGTAATAATTACAATAAATAACTACAAGAATTTTGTTTTTTACAACTAAGAAAAAAATAGCCAAAAGATATTAAAGATTATCCAGAACCCTTTTTTTCAAAGATTTTTATGAAAGAAAGAACCCAAATTAACACAGCCCTTAAAATCTCTTTTTTTGGATTAGTATTTTTTTATACAAACAGAGGACACTACATTCTAAAACCAATTAAATTAGTAGTAGAAAATGAGATGTGATTGGGGTGTTGCAGTAGTTTTTTTAGGTTATGTAGATAATTTTTGGTAGGTGGGTTGGTTGGTTGGTTCGTGTTTGCTTGGGATTGTGTGTTAGCTGTGTGAATATTTATAATTCATTTGATTGGATCAATTGGAGGCGTGTATGACATCTCGTTTCCTTTTTGTATGTTTTACCTGATTGGACCAATCACCGGTGGGCACTGTGGCTCTGTAGAATTTCGAACTTGTCTTATTGAAAATTGGCAGCAATTCATTAGCCTCGTCAGATAGAGCCTGTAAAGAAGAAGTGAAGGTGAAAAAAGTGGAAATAAATATTTAAAGAATATTTTCTAAGGACCTTAAAAGGGGGCATGCATTTTTAAAAGAATATTTTCTAATGACCTACTCAAAAGAGGCGTGGATTTTTTAAAGAATATTTTCTAAGGACCTCCTCAAAAGAGGCGTGGATTTTTTAAAGAATATTTTCTAAGGACCTCCTCAAAAGAGGCGTGTATTTTTTAAAGAATATTTTCTAAGGACCTCCTCAAAAGAGACGTGGATTTTTTAAAGAATATTTTCTAAGGACCTCCTCAAAAGAGGCGTGGATTTTTTAAAGAATATTTTCTAAGGACCTCCTCAAAAGAGGCGTGGATTTTTTAAAGAATATTTTCTAAGGACCTCCTCAAAAGAGCCGTGGATTTTTTAAAGAGTATTTTCTAAGGACCTCCTCAAAAGAGGTGTGGATTTTTTAAAGTATATTCTCTAAGGATCTCAAAAGAGGCGTAGATTTTTTAAAGTATATTCTCTAAGGATCTCAAAAGAGGCGTAGATTTTTTAAAGTATATTCTCTAAGGATCTCAAAAGAGGCGTGGATTTTTTAAAGTATATTCTCTAAGGATCTAAAAAAAAGGCGTGGATTTTTTAAAGTATATTCTCTAAGGATCTCAAAAGAGGCGTGGATTTTTTAAAGTATATTCTCTAAGGATCTCAAAAGAGGCGTGGATTTTTTAAAGAATATTCTCTAAGGATCTCAAAAGAGGCGTGGATTTTTATAGAATATTCTCTAAGGATCTCAAAAGAGGCGTGTTTTTTTTTAAAGTATATTCTCTAAGGATCTCAAAAGAGGCGTGGATTTTTTAAAGTATATTCTCTAAGGATCTCAAAAGAGGCGTGTTTTTTTTAAAGTATATTCTCTAAGGATCTCAAAAGAGGCGTGTTTTTTTTAAATTATATTCTCTAAGGATCTCAAAAGAGGCGTGGATTTTTTAAAGTATATTCTCTAAGGATCTCAAAAGAGGCGTGGCGAGCTATATCTAAATCTCAAAAGAGGCGTGGCGAGCTATATCTAAATCTCAAAAGAGGCGTGGCGAGCTATATCTAAATCTCAAAAGAGGCGTGTTTTTTAAAGTATATTCTCTAAGGATCACAAAAGAGTATATTCTCTAAGGATCTCAAAAGAGGCGTGGATTTTTTAAAGAATATTCTCTAAGGATCTCAAAAGAGGCGTGGATTTTTTAAAGAATATTCTCTAAGGATCTCAAAAGAGGCGTGTTTTTTTAAAGTATATTCTCTAAGGATCTCAAAAGAGGCGTGGCGAGCTATATCAAAATCTCAAAAGAGGCGTGGCGAGCTATATCTAAATCTCAAAAGAGGCGTGGCGAGCTTTATCAAAATCTCAAAAGAGGCGTGGCGAGCTATATCTAAATCTCAAAAGAGGCGTGGCGAGCTATATCTAAATCTCAAAAGAGGCATAGATTTTTTAAAGAATATTTTCTAAGGACCTCAAAAGAGGCGTGGATTTTTTAAAGAATATTCTCTAAGGATCTCAAAAGAGGCGTGGCGAGCTATATATACGAAAATGTATATGGGAGCTACATCTAAATCTGAGCCGATTTCCACGAAACTCAGCACATATCATTCTAGACTCACTTCAGTACGCTATGCTAAATTTCGTGTAAATCGAAAGATATATAAGGACTTTGGTGCACCGTTTATATCAAATCACCAATTTCAATAGGGTTCGTCCTTGGTCCAAACAAATGATATGTGCCAAATTTCATCCAAATCGGATTATAAATGCGATCTAGACTTTGTTTACAATTTAAAATGAAAAGACGGACGGACGGACGAACATACATAAATCGAAAGTGATTTTATAGGAACTATGGGTCTATCTCGTTTCCTATTTATTAGTGGGGAAAGTATGGCATTGTCGACCGGGGGTTAGTTTCGGATATCGCCACTGATCCTCATTAGATCCCTTAGTTTTTTGTTGGGGAATATTCTCCCCAGATGCTATTTGTAGCTTTAAAAAATCCCTTTATAGCAAACCAACGATATAAACTGCATAATAATTTCGCTGGTGCCTCATATCGAGCTTTACAACCCCTTTTTATATTACAACTCACCTTCAAGTATATAATGGCATCAGTGCCATATCCTTCACATGACAACAAAACAATATCGCCATGGAAGTAACGGGCATATAAACGTGATATGGGTAAACCATAGCCATAACCGGCCAAGGGAACCGTATGTAAATCCGATTTTGAAGGTTGGGGAGCCGTACTGTACATATACTTAAACAATTGATCGGTTTGGGAACGTGGAATGCCGCCACCTTGGTCTGAGATCTGAAAGCAAGACAAAAATTATAATATTTTAATTGAGGAAAAATACACAAAAATTGATGTTCCCCTTACCTTAACACAAATATCTTCTTTGCCACGCACAATTAACACCTTCAACGGTGGCAGTGTATCACATTTATCCTGATCGTGATGTTCAACGACAGCACGCATTGAATTCTTAAACAATTCAAATAGCATATGATATAGATGAGATGGTACATAAACTGTTCGTATCGGCAGCGTTTCACCATCCATTGAATTGTGTTGTTCTATTTGTAGTTCGGGACTAACCAAATAATATTGATCACAAAGGAAACGTGCATTTTCGTAGGCATCTTTAACGACATCCGATATATTACAGGCAGGATCTAAGCAACCAACATGCCGGCCTTGTCGCTCCATTGATTCGCCGAAAAGGAGGGCTGTGGGGAGAAAATAAAATTTGGAAATTGAACAAACATTAGAGGGGGGAAAATAGGCGAAAAATATAATAATGTAATAATTTTTTTAATGAATATATAATGAGCGCCTAGAAACGCCATATGACCGCTGCCCTGTCCATGACATTAAACATCATTATAATGAAAAAAAGGAAGGGAAAATATATGCAAAATATATATAATATAGAAAAATAATGGCAAAGAATTGCCCACTCCCTACAAACTGCAGCAAAAGCAACAATTGGTAGCAAAGACCTCCATCAAGAATCCTGTGGTATGATCAGGAGTGTCGTAATGCTACTGAGAATAAAGGGCAATCCTGCAAACAGTAGTAACACACAATTCAAGAGAGAATTATCGGGATAAAAGGATAAATGAGAAACGTATTTTCAAAAGAAAGAATAAATTACAAGAAAGACTTTGGTGCAGGCACGTCTTCCTGTAGAGATGAAGATGAAAACCTGGCGACAGATACAGACAGCGTATTGATGATCTGGAAGGAGCATTTTGCAAAGCTTCTAGTATTAAGTAGTAACGGTGAAGAAGATACCCCAGAGCCCATAAGAGATGATGATATAGATTGTATAAAACCTAGGCAATATGAGGTCAGAATAGCAATCAATAGGCTGAAGAATAATAAAGCTGGTGCTGATGGATTACCAGCCGAACTATTTAAGGCCGGTGGTCAGACGCTGATCAGGAGCATCTACCAACTGATTAGTACAAATTGGGTGGAGGAATGCATGCCCATGATTGGAACCTCGACATTCTGTGTCACGTGCACAAAAAAGGAGACCGGACTATATGTGCCAACTATATAGGAATTAAGTCTCCATCCCATCGCATATAAAGCCAATGGTCAATGACATTATTGGATCATACCAATGCGGCCTCAGGCCTGGCAAATCCACCATAGACCAGATTTTCACACTGCGCACAATATTGGAAAATACCCACGAGAAACACATCGACACATTTTTTCGACTATAAATCCGTATTCGACCGCTGGAAAAGGTCAAACGAGATACAAATGTGAACAGAAATGACACTCTGTGTACCAAACAGCACATGTTACCCGCCGACACCGATGACATCGATATAATGCGTCGAACATTGCGAGCGGTTACAGCCATCTGAACAAATTGAGAAGGAGTCTGCCACAATGATACTGGCTGTAAATGGCGAGAAGCTGGTGGTATCAAAGGGCAAGACGTCCAGTAGACTCGGACCAACTGTGGCACTTGAAAACTACAGCTTGGAGGTGGTGAACGGTTTATATACATCGGTACTGCCATAAACAAAAGTAAAACTAATAAAATCCGGAGGAGAATAGCGTTGACTAACAGCTATTACTATGGTCTAAGTAAGCAATTCAGAAACAAGGCCACCTCTCGCCAGACCAAACTCACACTCTACAAGACGCTGATACTACCTATACCTATACTTTTTAAGATGATGCATAGGCTTTGAGACAAAAATAAATTCTGACTGTGTGGTACTCTGTCGAAGAGGTGTATATACATAAGGAAGTTAAAAAAGTTGAATATGTAGAGCATATGTGGATACCTGACACAAGCTCTACATATTTAACTATCTAACAAAACCAATTTATCTGTCTCCAAAATGACACCTTGGACACAATTTAACTATATCTCGGAAGGAGAGGGACAGCAACCATATTAATTTATATTCAAATGCATTCCTTATTCTAAATTGTATCGGGGCAAACAAATGCTGTTGCCAAGTATGCATATCTGTTATAAAATAACTAGGACAACAAATAAGATTGCCATGTATAAATATCTCAGAAGTTTTCAATGTAACAAACATCATAAATAACACTTCAGATTAAAGTCCTCCAGTTCGTAGCTAATCAACAAAGAATTGATTATAAAGACTTGGAAGAGAATACACATTGCAAATTACTGTCTGGAGGAACTCATGATTAAAAGACTTTGAACAGAAAACGAAAAAAAAACATTGCAATTTACTGTCTGGCGGGGACTTGTGGAAATTCGCAGACATTTGTCAAAACAAAAAAAGAACATACATGAAGCAACACGATCGATGTACGAGTGTGTGTGTGTGTGATGATTGGCATTTTTTGCACTTACTATGTTGATTGATTAACATGCGTATGCTAATACGTGACATATACAGGCGATCCAAAAAATATTGTATTGAGGTTTCCATGGATGAGTCGACATTGCCATTTTCGGTTTCCTTCATTTCAATGACACCCTGGGCCATTGTTTGGACAACATCACTGTGACGATTGCGTATGTGTTCCAAGGCGCTGCAGAATCTATAAAAAAGGAAACGATATTAATGAAAAGGGAGACAAATTTGTTTTTGTGTTACTTACGATTGTAAATTGTCATAGGTTGGTTCGGCCTTTTCAAATTCCAATACCTCTTCGAAACTTTTCATATACCATGAACTGACTTGACTTACGGAACAGGTGTTGAGTAGATTATCAGGTAATAAAGCGATTTCTTTCATAATATTGGCCAAACGTACCGGAAGTTCTTTACGCAAAAATATAAATGATTTCTTTTCGCAGGCATTTTGACCTGAAAATAAAAAAATAATAAATAAATTAAATATTGTATTGTTTATTAATGATAAGACTTTGTTTATTTATTTCTAATATTTGCAAATATCAAAACAATAACTTTATCAAAGAAAACCCATATAAATTGTTTGGAATATAACATAAAAAGCAAAATAAAGACGTAGTAGAGTTTCAAATAGACTGATCTCAACCTCAACTCTCCATTCTTGCCTATAATTCTTCATAATTTTGACTTAAAATAAATGTCATTGTTATGATTATTAATTACCTTGGGTTTCTAATCGAATAATCGATATAAAACTGCATTTTTTCTTTCTAACTGCAATTTATCAAAATAAATTCTTTAGGTCATTATGGCAATGTTTATCAGCATGAAAAAATAAATAAATATTTATAAAAACTCCGGCCTGGAACAATGATGACGATGATATTATTGTCTAGACAAAATTTGGGTGTTTTTTTTTTTGCAATTTTAGATAAAAGTGTTTGTTTTTATAACATTAATCAGTTTTGGCAAATGTGTGTTAATTATTTAATGCGGCATAGCCCAAATAATTTTATAGATAATGGCGTAGGAGAAAATAATGAAGAGGAATAAAATCCCATGATACATTTTCCATATTGGAAATTTAATTTTCTATATGGAGAAAACATGTGGACACAATTTTATATGTAGAGAATAAATGTAAAAGAGCTTCGACAAGATTTTGTGTGCTGAAAATTCGTCTAATGCAGTAAAATAAAGTAATGCGAAATATAGAAAAAATATATTGAAAATTTTGTAATTCCAGCCTATTAGAAAATATAGATAGGATAAAGTGTTGGAATATTAATTTGGATTGAAAATTAAATCACATGACTACTAAACTCTCTAGTAATGCGAACGAGATTTCTAAAAATTGTTGTCTTTAAATCTTCGGTATACAAGAATTCAGAAATTCGGAAGTAAAGCAAAAATTAGCGTGTTGTAAATCGCAATGAAACACTGTGACCGGGAAAAGTTAATTTTGGGCGACGGTGGGTAAGTGTGATCTAGCCAGTCAAAAATGAGTCGTACAGCCCGATTTCAATTCAGTATCAAAAGACACTTGAGGTGCTACCGCTCCCTGAAAATTGTGAATTAAAATGACTGTTGGAGCGTAGGATTGTGATAGCTTAGGAATTCGTATTTATGAGTACGAAAAATACTAAACGGCACTATATTTGGTAAAATTGGGAATTAGGTGGACGGAGAGTGCTGGAAAATTAAAATTTGGAATAATGGTTGCTATTGGAGTGTAGAATTCAGATATGGAAGTATAGTACTAATGTGTACTAAATTGTACTATATTTAGTACAATCATGACTTAAAACTACTCTTGAAGTGTATGATTGAGGAAGTTTTGGAAAATCGTACGAAAAGTAATAAATGGTACTAAATATGGAACAATTTGGCTGTTGGTGAACGAGGGATAGAGCTGGAATCCGTATTTATGTGTACGAAAAATACTAAACGGCACTATATTTGGTAAAATTGGGATTTAGGTGAACGGAGAGTGCTGGAAAATTAAAATTTGGAATAATGGTTGCTGTTGGAGTGTAGAATTCAGATATGGAAGTATAGTACTAATGTGTACTATATTTAGTACAATCATGACTAAAAACTACTCTTGAAGTGTATGATTGAGGAAGTTTTGGAAAATCGTACGAAAAGTAATAAATGGTACTAAATTTGGAACAATTTGGCTGTTGGTGAACGAGGGATAGAGCTGGAATCCTTAAATGTGGATTTAGGATTATTATTGGGGTGCATGACTGAGGTAGTTTTGGAAACTCGTACTTATGGGTACAAAAAGTAGAACTAGAATCCTGAAAGTTGCAACTAAGATTACTGTCGGAGTGTAGGATTGATATAGTTTTGGAATATGGTTATGAACAGTACAGAATGGTATTAAATCTTAAATTTGAACTTACAATTACTATTGGAAAGCCGGATTTAAGTAGTTGTGGAAATTAATACGTATGAGTATGAAAAGTACTAAATTTGGTACAATCTGGACTTTGGTGGAATAACGATTAATGTTAAGTGTAGGATTGATTTAGTTTTATAAATTCTTATTTATGAGTATGAAAAGTACTAAATGTTGTACAATTTAGATTTGGATAAATGGATAGAACTGAAACCCAGAGATTTGGAATGTAGATTACTTTTGAAGTGTAGGATAGAGTTATTTTTGAAAATTCGTACTTACTTATGGGTACGAAAAGTACTAAATTTGGTACAAGTTGGATATGGGTGAACAGATAGAACTGGAATCTTGAAATTGAGAATTAAAATGGCTGTTGGATTGAAGGATTAAGGTAGTTTAGGAAATTCGTACTTAGTGATACTAAATTTAGTACAATTTGGATTTTGGGTGAACGGATAGAGCTGGAAACCTAAAATTTGAAATATTGATTGCTGTTTTTCTTGAAAATGTGTACTTATGTTTTCGAAAATTTCTGAATGAATCTGTATTGTTCACTATTCACAATATTCATATAAAATATTATTTATTTGTTTCATATTCCATTTCTGCATTCGAAGTAGTGGGTACTTCGCTAGTTTTCTATATAGGAAAATTCGGGGAAATTCTAAAATGTTTACAAAATTTAGACGAAATTTTAAATAGAAAATTTGAAGAAATTTAAAAACTTCAGTAGTGTTGGCGGTTTATTTGGGATACCATTTGTATTTTGTTTTTGCAAAATAGTCAGGCTGAAATTTAAAAACTTTAAAAACTTTAAACTTTAAAAACTTTAAACTTTAAAAACTTTTCTACATAAAAATGTTCTATAGAGAAAATGTGGATAATTTTTATATAGAAACACTCGACGAATTTCTTTAAATTTTCTATACAGAAAATGTTGATGAAATTTGATATATTTTCCATATCGATATGTCTAAATAATAATTTTCGTCGAAATTTGATAAATTTTCTATATAAAAATGTTGTCAAATTTTAATATAATTTCTATTAGAAAATGTCGTCAAGCTTTTATATAATTTTAATTGAATAAATAGAATATTCATTATTCAAATTTCGACGAATTCTTGCATAATTTTTGTGCATAGGAAAATTTTACGAAATTCTAAAAATGTTCTATGCAGAAAATTTGGACGAAATTCTAAATTTTCCAAAAAAACAGTAAGAATTTTCGAATTTTTGTATAAATTTTATTTGAAAATTTCGACGATTTTTTTATATTTAAACGGAAATATTCGTAGAAATATTATATATAGAAAAATATGTATTTCCTTTATAACGTCGACAAATTAAAATATATTTTCCCAATATAAATATGTATACAATTTCCAGATAATTAATCTCGAAATAATATTATCATTTCCTCTCAAAAAAATCGCATAAAAATAAAAACAAAGCGTCATCCGTTTAATGTTTACACAAAATTTTGGAAATCAAAACAAATATGAAGCGACGAAAATATATCTGTCTATGAATATCAAAAAGAGGAAAAAAAAACAAAAACAAAACAACATATTGACCCTCTAAAACAAAATTGTCGCAAAAAAAAAGAAACAGACCCAAACCAGATTTTCGAGGGCAGACCACATATAGCTGATAAGAAGAGGGGCGTGTATGTGTTCAAGTTATTTTTTTTTATTTTGTGATTGTCATGCCGAACCAAAGAAAAACAATAATAAAAAAAGAATGCCTTAGTGGAACAGCGGCAGCGATAAGTTTCGTTCATAAAAATCATATCAACAGTCAGTTGATATATAGACTACATACGTACATATGTATGTGTATTTGCGTACTTTATATGTATGTCTATATATTCCACACGAGCATTATGCTTGTTCTTCTTCTGGTGTCCAGCCCTCATTTTCGTCATATCATATGAGCGCGAGCATAAAAAAAAACTATTTCTAGTTTTTTTCCTATGATGTTTTTGGCAAAAGAAGAAGAACAACAACAATGCCAAACATGTGTAGGAAATTAAAAGTTGATATTCACACACACACTAATTTATACGCTTTTATGAGTAAGCATATGATTTTTTGGCAAGTTTTTTTCCTAAATATTTTGCTAGACAATTTACGTTTTTGAGTTTGTTTGTTTGTCTCTTAGTTAACGCTTTTGTTGTTTTTGTCTGTTTTTTTATATTTAGATAATTTGCGCTATTTCCCTTAAGACAGCGGGGTGTCAAAACACGTTTACTGGCGATCTTTGGACTTGTGTTGTTGTTTTTTAGACAAATGTTGACAGTAGCTGCTTTTAATTTATTTTTATTTTGTAGGGGTGTGTTTGGGTTTTGTTTTTGTTATGTTTATATTATTTTCTATATACAATTTTTTCGAAAATTTCAATATAGGGAATTTGCAACATTTTGTTAAAATTTGAATATAGACAAATCTATAACATTTTAATATTTTTTTTAAAAATTTCTGTAGAAATTTTCTGTATAGAAAATATATAAAAATAAACATTCGATATGGAACAAAGCTAGTGTTTTAAGGAAATGGATAATGTAAAATATTCTTCAAATATTTTTTGTTAATTCTAAATTTTTCTTATAATTTTTGTTATCAAAATTTCTATTTTATATAAAATTATCGATTTTTTTATAAACATTTTTAATATTTTTTTATAAAAATTCTCAAAAAAAAATTCTTTATAAAAAAATAATAAGAATTTATCGAAATTGTCTATATTTTAAAGATTTGCATTGAAAATTTTGAAACATTTTTCGAAATTTCCACTTTAAAATATTTAAAAAATCGTAGATTTTTTAAAAAGAAAGTTTTCAAACATTTTTCGAAATTTCAACTTTAAAAAATATTTTAGAAATTCGTCAATTTTTTTATAAACATTTCACTTTTTTTTTGGAAAAATTTCTAATTCTTTTTATACAAATCCATCATAGTTTTGAGGGTATATTCCAGTCCGTTTGTAACTCATCGAAATATTAATTTCCGATCCTATAAAGTATATATATTCTTGATCGGGGTAAACT